TCCCTCGGGTACCTTTTGTTGAATGGTCGAATGTTTTTGCTCCATTTCTCGTTTCTCCTTTGCTGCATCCACAACCAGTCGATCCAACTATAAAAGGGAAAAAAAAGAAAATTTTGAATGTAAAGATCAGAAGAAAATGACACAGTATGATTATTTTCTCAAACCATATTCTATCATTTTATAGACACATAGCAATAAATTACTCGATTTAAGTTTACATACAAGGCACTGTGGCTAAACTTCCAATTGGAAGCTCCTATTTGTCTGATATTGGATCCTCTCAGAGAGGCCCACATCTCCTCCAGGAAAACGTCTCCAAGAACAATCATGGTGGTGAGCATATGTAACTGGAGGCCTTGTCATGCCACCACAGTGACACATGTTCAGTTCCTAAACAGGAAAAATGACTCTAGCTTAAGAAGACTGCTGACCCACTCAGCAAATGCTGGTGATTACAGTTCAAGACATAAAGAAGAGACACTGGTGATAACTTTTCTTCAAATAGTAAAAAGTTGGTGCAGCTAAACAAGTGCAGTCAACTCTCTCTCACAAGTTCACTGAAACAGATTCTTTCAATCACTTGATTGTTTCATGTTTTCTAGCTGGCTTTAATGTTATAATCAAATCTAAAAAATAGAAAAAGATAACTTATCAAAAAAGGGAAACTAAAATAATAATGTAGTAATAAAAGATGAGTCATAATTCATAAGACTAAGGTACAAAATTGCCACTTCTTAAAGTTCATTTTAACAAGGTCAAAAAATTTAACGAAATCATAAAATTGCATTTTTTCCTCTGCATAAGAAAAAATTATTTTCCTTTCTATCACAAAAGAAGTGTTTGATACCAATAACATGTGATGAGAAATACTTGGCTTCCTGAACTCCTAATTGCTAGGATATCATTATGTGGATCTCATCCTCTGGACTGTGATGTATGTTTTTCCAATTTTGAACCCCCTCACCTCAAACTGTTTAATATATGTTTGATAAATGATGAACTTAAATGAGTTTCAAAAATGGTAGCATGTGCTGGAAGATGCTGCTTAGCAAGCTGAGGCCGCGCAGGAGGCCCAACTTAACTCCCACCTACCCTAAAAAGCTAGGCAGTGTACACACTTACAGTCCCAACCACTCAGGAGGTGGAGGCAGGAGGCTCATGAAACAGAGAGATCCCATTTAAAAATCAACCCTCCCCCATGCACACAATGTAATACCAGCAGCAAATTAAGAACGATAAATAGTAAGTGTCCACATTTTATTTAAGGTTTTTGCCATAGGACATGTGCACTCACTAGAAAAAGGTAGAGAGAGACAGTGAAAGGGAAAAATGAGAAATCATCCTGAGGTCATGGTCATCCCACAATCCCCTTCTCCTGCAATTCTGGGCACACACGCACATGCACCCAGCATGACTTTCAAGTCACCAAACCCAGGACTCAAACCATGATTGGCCATGTTGGAGTCCAGCGCCTTAACCACCATGCCATCTACTGGCCCCCAGCATCCACATATTTTAAGTGATATCTTTTAAAAATTAAGACTGAAAAGCGTTCTTTAAAAAACTATTTGAAGTCTAGCTCGGGGGCCTGCACTGCTTAAGCAATGCCAGATCCGTCCGGAAGATTGCAGATTTGGCTCCCGGCCAACCTATAGACACCAGGTATGTACACTCATGATCTTTCATCTCTGCTGGCTGGGAAGGCTGAGGAGATTGTAGCAAGAGACCCTGTTGAGGATGCTTGTTTCTATCTCTCTCTCTCTCTCTGTCTGTCTTTCACTCTCATGAAAAAAAGAAATAAAGTGGATCAGGTTATGGCCAAACAGTTAAGGTGGTTAAATCTATAGCCAGCCATGCAGTTCAAATCCTGGACCTGGTCGCGTGAGAAGTTCACCCAGCATGTGCATATGCAAGTCCAAAATCCCAAAAGGAGGGAGAAATGGAGAAGAAGGGACTCTGTTATGGAGGGTGCTTCCTTATTTTCTCTCTCTCTCTGGTTAGGACACAATGCCCTTGTCAAATTTTTAAAAATAATCATAAATTTTCAAAGGAAACAATAAAAAAAAAACCTATTTGGTCATTTATTCACCTCATATTACAAAAGATTTTTTATCTTCAGGAGAATAATTTTCATCACAGAATCATAGTAGTAATTCTGTAACAATAATTACTAACAGTATTTCTGAATAGTAATAAAGAATCAAATAGAACTGAGTGCAGTGTAGTGCACTTATAATCCCAACTACTCAAGGTTAAGGCAGGAGGATTCCAAGTTCAAGGCCAGCCTGAGCAACATAACAAGACACTCTCTCAAAAATTATACAAACAATGAGGCCAGCAGGTGGCATGGTGGTTGAGGGCACTGGACTCCCACATGGCTGACCACGGTTCCAGTCCCGAGCCTGGTGGCTTGCTCGCTCTCTCTATCTGTCCATCTCTGATCAAATTAAAATAAATAAATTTTAAAAATTTAAAATAAAATAAATCTTTTTAAAATTATACAAGCAGGGACCAGCAGTTAGCATAATGGCTATGTCGCTGGACTCCCACGTAGTCGACCGCGGTTCAAGTCCTGGACCCAGAGGCTTAAACTCACACAGGCGCATGTGTGTGAGTGCCCAAGATCCCAAGAGGAGAATGGAGGAGAAGGGATTGCGGCATGGCCATCCCCCCTGGGGGGTGATTTCTCACTTTCTATCTCTCTGTCTCTTTCTGGCGACCGCACGCGCCCTATAGCAAAAACCTCTCAAAAAAATTTTTTTTTAAATTATACAAGCAAAAATTGACTGAAAGAGAATTATAACTGTTGTAAAATATTTGGTATTGATGGCAACTATACTACTCTACTTTAAGATCTGAACATACATATCCAAAATTTTTGTCCTCAAAAGTTTCTTATATAGGAACCAGTAGATAGTGTAATGGTTGTATCGCTGGACTCCCACAGAGTTGACTGCAGTTCGAGTCCCGGACCTGGCAGCTTAAACTCACAACGGGCACGTGTGTGTGCATGCCCAAGATCCCAAAATGAGAATGGAGGAGAAGGGATTGTGGCATCGCCAGCCCACACCCCCCGGGGGGGTGGGTGATTTCTTGCTTTCTGTCTTTCCGTCTCTTTATCTTTCTGGCGAGCACATGCGCCCTTATAGCAAAAACCTCTCAAAAAATTTTTTTATATAGAATAGGTGGAATAGCCATTATATCATGGTTTTTATGACCTTAATTGAATGGCAAATAAATACTATTCACTCATTCAGATTTACCTGCAATACAAGGCAGCCTCTAAATTTAAAATACTTCCAAACATGCATACATGTACTATGCACAAGAGTAATACTCTGCAGATAATGGTTTTCTGCCTGTCAAATTGTAAGTAAAATCCTCTGATGCCTCCCGCTGCTACTGTGGCAGAAACTCCCTCTGTTAAAGGAGTACAAAGGAGGGACCAGCAGGTGGTATGGTGGTTAAGGGTACTGGACTCCAACATGGCTGACCACAGTTCAAGTCCCAGACCTGGCAGCGTGCTTTCCCACTTTCTCTCTCTCTCTCTCTCTCTCTCTCTCTCTCTCTCACACACACACACACACACACACACACACACACACACACACACACACTCTCTGTCCCTCTCTGGTCAAATTTAAATAAATAAATAAATAAATAAAGTTAAATAAAATAATTCTTAAAAAAAAAAGTACAAAGGAAAAAACATCAAATCTATCATTTAGCGTGGTGGTGACTTGGGAAGACATGAGCTGGGGAGATGGAAAGACTAGCAGGAGTTTTCTTCTAGATGCTCAGGACTGTCTCAGGAAGAGTTCAGAGCTCAGCCAGATGCATCCCATGTTTGTATTAGCGTTGGACATTATGAATTTTAACTAGCCAGGTACTGCCAATTCCCCTGTTTTGAATCCCTTCCACCCCCACCATCTCAGATACAATCACTTCTCTTTCTCCTTTTCAACTTCTCTCTCTTAAACCAGCCCATTCCCATCTGCTTTTAAACTTGTGCAAATCATACTACCTTAAATAAAACCTCCAACACATATTCCTTTCCAGCTACCACCTTCTCTCTCTCTTTCCTTCATAATATTTAAACGTTAAAATGTTACCACATTCTCTACTTGTCCATGTCATGTTCATCTGCCCACTATAATTCAGCTTCTGTTGCTCGGGCCCCAGCTCTATAGAAACACCACCTCTTACAAAGGTAACAAAAAACCTTGCTGCTAAACCCAAGTACTTCTTAGTTTTAGGCTTCCTTGACCTAGTTTTCCAATACATATATGTACCTCGTTAGGCAATTCTGTCTCTGTGCAAACACTCTCAAGTGTACTTATGCAGACCTACACGGCATAGCCTACTCCACGCCTAACCATATGGCATAGCGCAGTATAATCATATGGGCCCACCATCACACATAGAGTCCACTGTTGACAGAAACACTATTATGCGGTACAGGGCTGTCTTTGAAACTAAGCACTCCTCTTTTTGAGACGCTCTTTCCTTGGCCAGTGACATCACAGCCTCCTAGTTTTCCACCTCCCCTTTCACCTATGTCCTATCACAACTCCTTGTACCCAGCCATCTCTCAGCAGTTGATTCTAAGGCCAGCAGAATCCTATGGCAAGAAAACCTCAAAAAAATTATTTTAAGTTGGTTCCTCTTAGGACCCTGTCCCAAGCCAGCTTTCCCTTTTACTCAGTAACAATGGATCTCAATCGTAACTTAGAAAATCGCAATCTTTAGATATGGTGTCCAGGCACCTAGATATTTTTAACTAGCTCTATAATTGTGAGCTAGCTAACTCTCTCTAGGTCAGTTCATCCACGTCTGTGGTTGCAATCAGCAATTATATGCTATTGACTTGCTTAGTCTATCTCTTTCTCTCTTTTTTTTACTCAGTAACAATGGATCTCAATCGTAACTTAGAAAATCGCAATCTTTAGATATGGTGTCCAGGCACCTAGATATTTTTAACTAGCTCTATAATTGTGAGCTAGCTAACTCTCTCTAGGTCAGTTCATCCACGTCTGTGGTTGCAATCAGCAATTATATGCTATTGACTTGCTTAGTCTATCTCTTTCTCTCTTTTTTTTTGGGGGGGGATCAATGACATGCTATTGACTTGTTTAGTCTATCTCTTTCTCTCTTTTTTTGGGTGGGGGGGGAGGTTTTTGCTATAGGGCGCGTGCGCTCACCAGAGAGAGAGAGACAGAGAGACAGAAAGCGAGAATTCACCCCCCAGGGGGGATGGCCACACTGCAATTCCTTCTCCTCCGTTCTCCTCTTGGGATCTTGGGCAAGCACACACACGCGCCGGTGTGAGTTTTAAGCCACCGGGTCCGGGACGCGAACTGCGGTCAACTACGTGCGAGTCCAGCGACATAGCCATTATGCTAACTGCTGGTCCCTCTATCTCTTTCTCTTGAGCTCCAGATATACCCATTAATATAATACATCCTATCTTCAAAAATCACTTTTTTCCCTCTAATAATATATTTTTTAATATTCATTTATATTATTTATTCATTTTATAAGTTTGCTATAGGGCATGTGTGCTCACGAGAAAGAAAGAGAAAAAGTGAGAAGGCAAGCCACCGGGTCCATGACTCAAACCACAGTTGGCCACAAGGAAATCTAGAACCTTAACTACCATGCCACCTGCTGGCTTCCAAAAATCACTTTTAAATCTGAACTCATGTCCCTCCACCTTTGACTTAATAACCTTAAAATCTGTTTTAATCCCTATTGCCATGATCCTAATTTTACTTAGTTTTTCCTAACTGAATTACTAAATGAAAATCCTAACTGGCCACTTCCAACCAGGTCACATTATCCAGCAGACACTGTCATCTCTAGGGCTCAGATGCTTTTCAAAGGCCTGAAAACTCATTAGAGGTCTGAAACAAGACAAAATAAAATAAAGCCAAAATATCCTGCAAAAACTTAAATTAGCATGTTTAAAAATGTATAATCATTTCGACTAGTCAACTGCAGTCCAACTCATACTGTTTTCATAAGTTATATTTAATGTAGGAGGAGAATAGACCGTAATGTCTGACAGAATGTGAGGATTGCCTGGGACATGGGAAGGCCTGGCCTTCCCTCAAGTCTGGGTAAACATCCTGTCTCCATGTTCCTAAAACCCTGACCCTCCCTCCCCATGTGGTGGGAAAGGCTAGCTGTCCCTCAATATGTACTTTCTCCTTCCTTAACAATAGAACCCACAAATTATAGCAGATTCCATGGCTACCTGACATCTGGGCTCTATTTCCAAGGGTTTCTTGCAGTCAGTGTGACCTTTTGACTATGCACTGACTATTGAGATTTGGACAGAAATGACATGTACAATTTCTAGAAAATATTCTTAGAAGGAATGTGTCTTTCTTTCCCCTTCCTTCCTTCCTGTTAGCAGGAATCTGCATATGATGGCTAGCTAGAGCTTTAACCACTTTGATCTTAAGGCAGAATCAAAAGATATAAGCTTGGGTCCTACTAATCAAGTGGTCATAAAACCTTGGTCTTTGACCTTACATAGGAGAAATAAAACTGTCCTTTAGAAGCTACTGGTGTTCTCAGTATTTGATCACTTGAAAATAAACCTAATTCCAACTGATACACCCCCAACAGGGCATTTAGCACCGAGATTTACAGTCTGGTGATTTGTTGGTTTCTTCAAATAAATTAAGTTCTGTAGAGGTAGAAAGCAGAGTATGTATACTTCATGGCATATGCCCTGTACACCATCCTTCTCTTCCAGCCTCTCAACACCCACACACACACACACACACACACACACATATACTTTGATTAGCAAATGCAATTTCTATTCTACTTTTACTTTTTTCCATTTCCCTAAATACCTTTTTTCATCTCTAATTCTTTCTTCTCCAAAAGTAAACTAAACTATTTTGAGAAAGAAAATCACCTAAAAATTGACACTAAGAAAGCTCATCAATCAATAAAAAACAATGTACCCAGAACAGATCTAATATAAAGTTATCAGATATAAAAAATAATTTTAAAATAATGAAACTTCTCTCTATATATTGGGTCATCAGAAAAGTCATGATGCATTTTTGCACAGGAAAATACGTCACAATTTTTCCAGTAACCCAATGTAGTTATGTGTGTGTATACATGCACACACACACACATAAATATATATTAAATATATATATATAATTCTTACACATATACAAACACACACAGACACCCATATATGTCTGTGTGAAAAGTAAAAATTCCCAAGAGCTCTATAACCTTATAATTCTAAAAATTAATTATTTAAATATCAAAATACAATTTGTTTTGAAAATTAAAAAGAATTATAACTCAACTGAAGGTCAAACTGAGATAGCACCTCAATTATCCATATGTAAGACATTAAAAAATAAATCAAGCTATATATAACGTAAAAGACACTAAATTTTAAAATTCTCCTTTTCAGTACTCTCATCTACGATCTAACATAAAGTTATTATCTTTAATTTCTATTTTTGATCAAAATTTAATCCAATACATAAATGCAGTACCACTGACCCTCTTTGTTAATAAAATGTCAAATCCCCCAAAATGTTATATTTCTTTGAAAATACAAATACTGACATAATCCAGAATTAAGAGATATAGGTTATTACCTGTGCTCCAAGATCCTTCATATAAGGCCCAAGCTCACTAAACAGATCATATCCTTGATGGAAGAAGGCCAAATGGGCATACATAAAGGATAACATCTGATGAAAGGGAAAAGACATTATCGTTTTAAAATCAATTCCAAGATCAATATTCTAAAATATTTTTTAAATCCTGATCCTATTTAATGTTTAAAAAGTATTCCACAAGAGCCTAAAATGTCAAATCTATTAAAAATTAAACTGAGTCACTTTTCTTAAATGAGTATTTTAGAAGGATTTGCAAATACAGTAATATTATTTAAAAGGAATTTCACAGCAATTTAAAATTTTAACAATGCCCCAAACTTTAGTTGTTTTAGACTATACTTAAATGAGAAAAATGTATATAGAGGAGTCAAACAGACAACTTTTAAACACCATTCTAGATACAATATAAAATATGTATGTGTACCTTCAACCAAACTTACTTATAAAACTTAAATTGCAAAAAGACATAAACAGATAAGAAGGTGAAATATAAACCTCTAAAAATAAAACAATCACAAGGACATTACAATCTACTAGATCACCAAGCACAATCTGAATTAGGGGAATGTTCTCTTTTTTTTCCCCTCAAAACACCAAAATAAAATTAATCAACAAATTGACAATATAGATTTTTCTATTTTCATTCCATAAAGCCAAAAATGACATTAATGAATTGAAATGTTTCCAAGTTTTCTATATTTTACTTATTTGTGAGAGAAAAATCACTCTTATTTTTACTAGTTAAGGTTTTACACAGGGAGAAATTATACAGTTAAATGTATAATACTGAATCAATCTTCTAAATAACCACCTTACTTTTAGCAAGAAAAATATCTAATACTCTGAATTCTCAATATATTCAAGAATCTTCTCCCATAAAAGGTTTCTCCAAAAGAAAGCTCAACTAAATAAAGACAAAAGGACAAAACTCACAAGAGAAACATTGTTCTGAAATTATTTATGGATGATGATGGATACACAACTTTGTGACTATAATAAAAACCACTAAATTTTCTTTTTAAAAAGGGACAGGACAAAAGATTAATAGCTAAGATTATACAAAAATTTTAAATTTGCCTGTACATTAAAACATACAATATGCTGGGCCAGCAGGTGGTATGATAGTTAAGGTGCTGGAGCCCACGACTCAGACCACATGGTTCAAGTCCCAGAACCAACATCTTGAAAAAGAAGCTGGGTGTTTTTCAAGCTGGGTGCATGTCCAAAAATCCCAAAAGAAGAATAAAGAAAAAGGGATTGCAGCATGGCCATCACTCCTAGGGGGTGATTTCTCACTTCCCTTTTCTCTTTCTGTCTGTTTCTCTCTAGCAAGCATGCATGTCCTATAACAAAGCAAAATAAAACATCAGTATGCAAACTGAAAGACAAATAATAACTGGGAAGAAACATATGACAAAGGATTATGGTCTTAATAACGTAAAAGATGTTACAAATCAGTATGAAAAAGATGAACACTCCAGACTGGCAGGTGGCATGGTGGCTGAGAGCGCTAGACTCCCACATGGCTGACCACAGTTAGAGGCCTGAACCTGGTAGCTTGCTTTCTCACCTTCTCTCTCTCCCCACCTCTCTCTCTGTCAGTCTGATCAAACTGGAAAATACTTATAATAATAAATAAAGTTAAATAAAATAATTTTTTAAAGAGTCATCACACACACCAAAAAAAAGGACGAACACTCCAACAGAAAAAAAGAGGTCATATAAAGGGTACCCAAATGGCCAAAAAAAAATTATGGAAAAAATGTATGTTCATAATACTTTGTATTAACAAAATACAAAACTGAATAATAAAATCACATTTTTTGGGGGGGAAAGGTTTTTGCTATAGAGCACGTGTGCTTGCTAGAAAGACAGAGACAGTCAGAGACAGAAAGCAAGTAATCACCCCACAAGGGGGATGGCCATGCTGCAATCCCTTCTGCTCCATTCTCCTCTCCCTCTCAGGATCTTGGGCACGCACACACCCATGCCTGGTGTGAGTTTAAGCCACCGGGTCTGGGACTTGAACCACGGTCGACTATATGGGAGTCCCGTGACACAGCCATTACGTCAATTGATGGTCCCTAAAATCACATTTTCTATCTACCAAATTGAGGGAAGAGTGGGAGAAACTATGATATTCAGTATTGTTAAAAAGTGGAGAAACGTTCACACTACAATTTGATAAGAGTTTTCAAAAATTCTGATCAATGTTTAAACCCTACACACTACAATTTGTAAGACTTTTCAAAAATTCTGATCAATGTTTAAACCCTTTGACTATATAATCCCTTGTCTATACATTTATCCTGAGGAAAAAATCAGATTATTCACTATAATAATCCCTACAATGTTATGTTTTTTTGTTTTTATTTATTTATTTTGTTATTTTGGAGAGGATTTTTGCTATAGGGCATGGGCGCTCGCCAGACAGACAGAGAGAGACAGAGAGACAGAAAGCGAGAAATCACCCCCCAGGGGGGATGGCCACTGCGCAATCCCTTCTCCTCCATTCTCCTCTTGGGATCTTGGGCACGCATGCACATGCGCCCGGCATGAGTTTAAGCCGTCAGGTCCGGAACTCGAACCACGATTGACTACATGGGAGTCCAGCAACATAGTCATTACCCTAACTGTTATGTTTTAATGTCAGAAAAATGGAAATTACTTAGATATCCTTTAGTGGTGAAGTTAATTAAAGGTATATTCAAGGTCAGTGAACTATGAACTACAGATTATATCCAGTTCTATTACTTGTTTTTTGGATGGTCCTTGAGCCAAGGATGGTTTCTATGTTTTTAAATTATTGAAAGAAAATGAAAAAATATATAATTCATAACACATGAAAACTGTTTGAGATCCCGATTTTTGTGTCCATAAGTAATTTCTTTAGAGAGATTTTTGCTATAGGGTGAGTGTGAGACCGAGATAAAAAGTGAGAAATTACCCCCCAGGGGGGATGGCTGCCATCCCTTCTCCTCCATTCTCTTGGGATTTGGGGCACGCACACATATGTGCCACATGAGTCTGAAGCCATCAGGTCTGGGACTTGAACTGCAGTCAGCTGTGTGGGAGTCCAGCAATGTAAACATTACACCATCTGCTGGTCCCCATAAATAAATTTTTATTCAAACACAGCCATGTATTTACATTCATTTACATATTGTCTAATGGCAGCTTTCTCATTACAAGGATACAGCTGAGTAATGAAAACAGAGACCACAAGGCCTGCCAAAACTACCATATTTACTACCTAGCCCTTCTCAAAAACCTTTGCCCAGCCTCAGTATATCCAAGTGACAGAATTCTATCTGGCCACAAAAGTCATCATTAAATAAGAATATTTCATGACATGGTTTTGCCATGTCTTAGTGGAAAAAGCAAAGTTATAAAATATAAGGGAATAATTTCGATTTTTAAAATTCAATGCAATTTTAAAAGGTACAAGTACCTGCTCATGTATACACATACACAGAAAGAGGAAAAGAAGGGTAGGATATATGCCAACATATATCATATCAAGTGATCTCTTGATAGCAGGACTTAGGTTTTGTGGGGGTTTTTTCCTTCACACATTTTTCAGTTCTCTACAATTAATACACATTACTGTAATTCTGGAAAATAAGTGAGGTAGGAGGAAGTAAGTACCTAAGGTTTTGTTTTTTAGGTTTTTGTCATAAGGCACATGCACTCATGAATTAGAGACAGAGAGAGGGAAAGTGAGAAATCACCCCTCAGAGGGGATGATCACGCTGAAATCCCTTCTCTACAATTCTCCTCTTGGGATTTTGGGCAGGCACAGACATGTGCCTGGCATCATTTTCAAGTCACCAGGACCAAGACTTGAACTACAGCCAGCCATGGGAGTCCAGCACCTTAACTATCATGCCACCTGCTGGCCCAAGAAGTATCTTTTAGAAAAAAAGGAAGTACAATGTACTTACTTGATAAGATGCAACACGAATATAAACAAAATTTAAGGAAAAATTGATGGGAAAAAGTATCTAAAGCTTAAGTAAAGCTTTTTTTGGGAAAAGATTTCGATAAATAAATTCAGTGAGGGTCATTATATCTAAAGTACTCAAAATGTGAAAGAAATGCCACATACCAATATCCCCTATCATTTTTAGGTAGCTTTACAACACACAAAAAAATGAGCAAATAAAAAAGATCATTGTCGGGACCAGAAGTTGGCGTAATGGCTATGTCACTGGACTCCCATATAATCGACCATGGTTCGAGTCCCAGACTCGGTGGCTTAAACTCACGCCGGGCACATGTGCATGCGTGCCCAAGATCCTGAGAGGAGAATGGAAGAGAAGGAATTGATACGTGGCCATTCTCCCCTGGAGGGGGGGGGTGATTTCTTGCTTTCTGTCTCTGCCTCACTGTCTTTCTGGCAAGCCTAAATGCCCTATAGCAAAAATCTCTCCAAGAAAAAAAAATAAGATTATCACCATAAGTGAAGAGGCTCAAGAGAAAAAAAAAATGATCCTCAAATTTTACCCCATTAGTTTTCCAACTACACACCAATGAACTCAAAAGATTGATAAATTAACATTAAGGGAAAAATTCAAGTGATACTATTCATGTCAATCCTTCATTTCAAATATTTTAAATAGAAAACTATAGAAAACAAATGAAACATAAAATTATACAAAAGAATATAAGTATTTTTAAAGATGTTGGGCAGAAAATATTTTAAAGTAAACACACATGTACATAAACAAAAACAAATACAATTTAGAGGAAATACAAACCTAAACATAACAGTATTTTATTTTTATACATTTCCAAACCAATCCTGAAATATTTTCACACATTTTTACAACCACTTCCAGTTATTCACCATATAGCACTGAGCATTTAGTATGTGGAAAGCATCATATTAGGACGCTTTAAAATAAAAACCAAATAGTACGAAGTCTGCCTTTTGGGGGTATTTATACATGCAACACAAATCAACAACTATAGCACAAAAGAGACAAAGGCAGCTAAATGCCAAAAAATATAAAGATCCAAAAGAAGAGCAATTATGAACCTGAAATGTATATATTAGATGCTGCTTTACGCACTTCAATATGTATATTTGGTTTCATATTAAAATATTTAAAACATCATTTCAATTAATATCTTACTGATTTTAGGATTTCTGATCTCCTTTTTGATTGAAGAACATTAATCTGAGGGAAAATATGCTTGGTTAATTAATCATGCAATTTTTAAAAAAATAATTCATAACAAAGTATTATAAAACTTGTTTATTCTAATGGTTTAACACTTTCCCCAAAAGCAAATAAAAACCAAGTTGTTTCATTCTTTGATCCTATGTTCGCAAATACAGTTAAGATAAACAAACCAATGACATTCTCATCCATGTTGAGGTCAAAGAAGAACTTACCATTTAAGTTATAATATTGTAGTGACACAACTAGTTTGACACCTGAACTTCGGAGAGGTCCTTTTCCTGCACCCTCTTTATCTGCTGGCTCATTAAAGTTCAACATACAACCTCAATGCAAATTTTATCACCTTCCCACTACCACCACCCTGTCTCTACTGAACTGCTGAAATCGTCAATGAACTAGTCTTTCTGCTTCCATTCTTGATTTTGCCAGATCCATTCACACAGCAGCCACGTGATCTTCGTAAAATATAAATTAGATCAAGACCTCCAATTTCCAGGGCCAGCATATGGCATAGTGATTAAGGCACTGGACTCTCACATGGCCTACCATGTTTCAAGCCCTAGACCTGTCAACTTGCTTTCTCATGTTCTCTTTCTCTCCCTCTCTCTCTGTATCTCTCTGCTGAGTGCACATGCCCTCTAGCAAATTAAAAAATTATAATAATAATAAATACAATTAAATAAATAATTGTTTTTTTTAAAAAAAAACAAACTCCAATTTTGTTCCCAGGCCAGTAATGCCCATTATAACATGGCCCCGTCTACTCTCTAACCCAGTTTTCTTTTACTTTCTCCCTTTCTGTGCTCTAACCACAGCTCAACACCGCTCCCCACTGAGAGCTTCTGTAGAGCCGTCTGGTCTCCAGGTCATGACATTCTGCCTACAGAGCTACAGGCTTGCCCCTACCAAGCTGGTCTCAAACACCATCTCCTCACAAAGGCTTAAGGTAGTCTCTTAGCACTTAAGCTCAGTCTGGCGGTACATCAGTCCTACTTATCTTCCTCCTAGCATTTATAATTTTATATTTTCTTATTTGTACCTTTTCTTGTGAGATCTGGGTCTCTGTCTTACTCCCACCTTTAATCCTCAAGCAGCACTTAGTAAACATTCAAAAAATAGTTGTTAAATAAATTAATGAATCTTAAATAAATATTTTAATTAGACTAAACATGTTAAAAGATGACAAAATTAAGACATCTGTGTTTTATGGGATCTCTCCCAACTCCAGAAATTCATAGCAAGCATTTCACTTTTATGTTATTATATTTTAGCTTAGTGTAATAAAATGTTTACTCAAGCAAAGAATCATTCATTCTTTGCTAAGATTCCAAAAATCCGTCTTTTAATATCTCCTTTCCATGGAATTTTCTGGCTATTTTAAGACTTTAAAGACTTTAAAGTAGTAACTAAAAAAAAAAAAAACCAAGAAAATCTAAATAACATAAATGAGAACTAGCTTTTCTAGTTCTCAAGCCTATAAAGTTGGTTTTCTTTTTCTTTTAAAGAATTATTTATTTAATTTTATTTATTCATTCATTTATTTTAATTTTACCAGAGAAAGATAGACACACAGAGAGAAGGAAAGTGAGAAAGTAAGCCATGAGGTCCAGGACTCAAACTGTGGTCGGCCATGTGGGAACATCCAGCATGTGTTTTTTTTTTTTTAATAAACTCATATTTTTCTCTCCCTCTCTCCCTGTCTCTTTTAAATTTGCTAGATGGCATGTGCAATTGCTGGAGAGAGAGAGAAAGAAATTACCCCCCAGGGGGGATGGCCACACTACAATCCCTTCTCCTCCATTCTCCTCTAGGGACTTTGAGCATACATGGCACATGATTGGTGTGTTTTTCAAGACTCTGGGTCCAGGACTTAAACCACGCAGTTGGCCATGTGGGATCCAGTCACTTTAACTGCCACAGCTGGTCCCAATTCCATTTTTTCATAAACCTTTTTTTATTCATAACAGAACATTCATGTGAGAATGGGCAAGAGAGCACCTTCCATGGGGTCTGCAGTCCCCTTCCTCCAGTCCTCGGGTCCATTGAATCATGGACACCCATACAGATGACCAGCACACTTCAGGCTGACTGGACCAGGGGTCCAAACCGAGGTTACATGTGCAATCCATCTTTTCTACAGCGGCACAGTACCAATGCAACATGAAGCGAGGCCCCATTCAGTTTTAGGAACTAAAATATTAACTTTTAAATATTCTAAGTAAACATAGACTTTTGGCCATGAAATAAAATGAGAGATAACAATTCTCATCAGAAAAATAAAATAAACCAATAGTTATTTGGGGGAGGCTAGGCATTTTAAAATAATGAATATTTCAGCTATCCATTACCCCATATAAATTTGTAACAGTAAGCTAGTCACTCTTTTTTTTTTTTTTAGAGAGGTTTTGTTATAGAGCGTGTGCGCTCGCCAGAAAGAGATACACAGAGAGACAGAAAGTGAGAAATGACTCCCCAGGGGGATGGCCACGCCGCAATCCCTTCTCCTCCACTCTCCTCTTGGGATCTTGGGCATGCACGCACATGTGCCCAGCGTGAGTTTAAGCAACCGGGTCCAGGACTCCAATCATGGTCGACTACATGGGAGTTCAGTGACAGCCATTACACAACTGCTAATGCCAAGCTAGTCACTCTTCTAAAAAATACTTATTATATATGCCAATTATTGGACTAGAGGTCGGGATAAAAATCTAGAAATAGAAAAGGCATATATAAACAAATATTTACAATATAATTATAAGTGTTCTAACCACAATGTGTATGAAAATATTATAAAAACAGAAAAATCAGAGGCAAGAATGACTCATTCTGCCTTGAAAAAAGCTAAAACCCTGATCATAGAACAGGATGAAAAAACTGATGGGGCAGATAAAAAGAATACAAGGGATCCCAGTTTGGGGAGAATACAGTAGTGCAGACAAGATATAGGATGACTGGGTTAGAGCTGCAGCAAAGAGGAGAAGAACAGATTCAAGAGAGGCACATATGAAGAATTCTGAAGACATTTGGTGAGCAAACAAAATAGCTTAGAATGAAGAAAACAAACATGATTTATTTCTCTTACTTTGAACTTCTGTGTAAGAGGGTGATGCTGCTCAGTTAGATAAGGGCAGAAAAGCCATTTTGGAAGATAACAAATTCCAGTTTTAGACAAAATAAGAATAAGGTATCTCTGTGAATAAAAGATTTCGTCACCTACACCTGGAAGGCAAAGCAATCAAGGGGGATCATGAGACTGTCAAGAGAATAATAAAGTAAGAAAAGAACAGAACCAAATACGAAACTCTAAAAAGAAGGCTGAAAGGGCTGGCAAAGGAGAGAAGCCTATGGCAGAACTGAAAAAAGTTACAAGTTAGGAGGAAGACCTAAATCAAGATAAAAATATTGATATATTTCATGAGAGAGAGCATGGTCTATCAGAATAGTTAAGGTGGTCAAAAACTAAAACAAATCAAACAAATAAAGACTGTCCATGAGCCATTTCTTTGGAATGGTTCAGGAAGGCAACATACTCATACTGCAGCAACAAGTAATATGAATGTGAGGTAGGTCACAGGACATAAGAGATACAGACTGTCATGCTAGAAGCCTTTCATCTATAAGTCCACTGCATTTTTAAAAATATTGCTTAACACTTTTTTAAAAGGATTATTGATTAATTTTATTTACTATTATTATTTTTTAATTTGACCAGAGAGAGAAAGACAGAGAGAAAAAGAAAGCAAGCCACCGGGCCCAGCACTTGAACCGTGGTTGGCCAGGTGGGAGTCCACTGCCTTAACCACCACACCACCTGTCAGCCTCACACACTTATTAAACAGGATTTAATTTTTTTTAAATCCTAAAGTCCATCTTCTATTGTTTTGCAAAGTTACCTAAATAGGGGTTTTTTGGCTGTGTGGTTTTTTGTTTTTGTTTTTTTTTTAGAAGTTTTTGCTATAGGGCGCGTGCGCTCGCCAGATAGACAGAAAGCGAGAAATCACCCCCCAGGGGGGGTGGTCATGCTGCAATCCCTTCTCCTCCATTCTCCTCTTGGGATCTTGGGCACGCACGCACACGCGCCCAGCATGAGTTTTAAACCACCGGGTCCGGGACACAAACCGCGGTCGGCTACGTGGGAGTCCAGCGACATAGCCATTATGCTAACTGCTGGTCCCTGGCTGTTATTTTATTATATTTTGCTTTTTAATTTGCCAAAGGGCATGTGCACTTGTTGGAAAGACAGAAACAGAGAGAAAGCAAGAAACCATCCCTCACCCTTCCCCACGCCTGGAAATGGCCATGCTGCAATCACTTCTCCTCCTCCATTTTTCCCTTCTTTTGGGACTTTGGGCATGCACACACATATACCCAAGGTGTCCTTCAAGCTAATGGGTCCAAGACTCGAACTGCACATTTAGCCATGTAGGATTTAGCCACCTTAACCACACCGCCATCTGGCCCTCCTAAATAGTTTCTAATCACTTATTTCTATACAGTTACTTAGGTATTGTTTTAAGAAATGCTCTGTGATCATGAAATAAACAATCTCTGAGAATACCCAATGCTATTGTGTAAAAGAAAAGTTAGACAAGAGAATAATCCAAGGTTTAAAACTTTACATCTTGGGGTGCAGCAGGTAGTGTGGTGGTTAAGGCACTGGACTCCCAGATGGCCGACCATGGTTCAAGTCCCAGACCCAGCAGCTTACTTTCTCACTTTCTCTCTCTCTCACTCTGTCCCTCTCTGATCAATTAAAACAAAATGAAATAAATAAAGATCTATATAAACAGGTGAAATTTTCCCACAAAAGATCATATTTTAATTTTAAACTCAAAGAAAAGTATTATTTATTCTTTACCATGCAATCATTCAAAAGTAACAACCTGTTTAGTAAACACTGTTTGAAAACATGTAATAAAATACATACCTGGAGTACATAGTCAAGAGCAATGTGTCGAAAACATTTTCTAGTTGCTGTCAGAATGTTTGTGGCTTCTTCAACTTCATGCTGTTTATTTCTTTGTACTTGAGCATTTTTTACTAATGCGTTTTCCTTTTCTTCACTGACTTTTTCAAATTGCTTCTTGGCATCTTTGAATTTTCTAAGATCTCTAAAAAAATTTAAAACTTAGTGAAACTTTCATAAAACATCCTTGATCAAAAACTAACAATATTTACAATTTAATTTTCATAGTCCTCCATTTATTTGTTTCACCATTTGCTGACATTCACTAGTTCCTTCAACTAAAATACATATTGTTTCTCTATTATATATAAATCCTGATACAGCCAGCTAACAACTCATTATCTAAACTTACATAACTTGAGGTGAAAATGAATTATCAAATTAGCATTATCGAAACATAAAAAGCAAAGTTAATTTGTTTTCTAAAGAGAAATTCAGAGACGTGAACTGTAACAGTCGTGCATCACTTAACAATGGCTCTATGTTCTGAGAAATACATCATGAAGGGATTTTATTGATCAGACATCACACTTACATAAACCGCAATGGTGTAGCCTGTGCACCTGGCTACATGGTACAGTCTCTGTGATCCTTACAGGGTCACCATCACACAGCATCGCACTGACTGAAACACCATTATGCAGTGCATGACTTCATTTAACCAAAAGATTTTTAAAAGTAATATATATAACAACCACAAGACACTTGCCAAAAATGCAAATTTCAAGACTCTAGAAATTATAACCCATTAATATTTGAGATAAATCCTAGACATCTGGAAGTTTGGGTTTTTTTTTTTCTTTCCAGATTTTTGCTACCAAATGCATGTGCTTGCTGGAGAGACAGAGACAGACAGACAGATAGAAATCAATCCCCCCGGTGGGGATGGGGATAGCCATGCCCCAATCCCTTCTCCATTCCCCTCTCCGGATTTTGGGCATGCATGCCCATGCATCCAGGGTGCAGTCTAAGCTGCCAGATCCAAGACTAGAACCACGGTTCCCCACATGGGAGTCTAGCGCCTTAACCACTATGATACCTGCCAGGCCTACCTCCAAGTTTTTTAAAAATATATCCCTGAGACCAACAGGTTACATAATGGTTACAACACTGGACTCCCATGTAGTCGACTGCTATTTGAGTCCTGAACCCAGTGGCTTAAAAATCATACTGGGCACCTGTGCATTCGTGCCTGCCCAAAATCCCAAAAGGAAAATGGAGGAGAAGAGATTGCAGCATGGCTATTCCCCCTGGAGGATGATTTCTCGCTTTCTCTCTGTCTCTCCAGTGAGCGTGCACGCCTTATAGCAAAATTCTCTCTCTCAAGAAAAATACAATCCTGGTTTTACCTCTATGGAGAATATACAGACCACACCTTAAAAATCAACACTTATTTCTTCTTGAAGGAAATTACTATGTCAAAAACCATGGATAAAATAAGTTGGATTTTTATTGGATAAAGTAAGTTTTAAAGCATACACACGGGCCAACACTGGGGGCCTGGCAGTTAAGAGAGCCAGATCCCACATGGTTGACAGCAATTCAAGTCCTGGCCCTGGGAACTTGAAAAATGCACCAAATACATGTGTATGCGTGCCCCGAATCCCAACAGGAAGGAGAAGTAGAGAAGCAAGAACTGGAGCATGACCATGTCCCACTGGGAGTGCTTTCTCCTCCCTCACTCTAGTGAGCCCATGTGCCCGCTGGCAAATTTAAATGAATGAATGTATAAATATTCAAATCTTTAACAATGGTAGCTATACATCCTGTACACATACTCATAGTATAAATGATTCACTGAAAGTCATGAAGTCTGATTCTCACATAAAGTCAGTAAGAAACAATGCAATGTGCATTTCACAAAGCAAAGACTCCAATATTTTTAGTAATTAATGATCTGTAATTTCTTTCAAAAGATACCAATTCCAAGATTTAACCAACTGTTTGTTTTCTTTTTTCCTTCATGACAACTTACTCTTTAACAAAATTTTGAAGCTGTGCCTTAATTGATCTCTGAGTTTGGTCAAACAGGATCTGAAAGATAAAATGTAACACTAGGGGATTAGAAAAGTATGCAGAAAAAGTAATTCTCTTGAAGTCTTTTAAATACCATATTCTTCACATTTTAATAACACTAATAACACTTCATTTCTCTTTATTGAAAACTACAAAAGAAACATTTAAAAAAAAAAGCCTGAAACCAATTTAAGGTTAATTTCATCTGTCACAAAAATAAAACTGCTTCTATTGATAATTTATATAGGAAAATTAATCTGCTTTACAAATTAAATAGGATGCTCAAACAGTAGAGGAGCACCAATTTCCTTCATTCTAATTCAGGCTTTAGAAGACCATAAAATAGAAAATCCACTCCGACCAACATAAAAATGTCTTACTCCAACAAAGCAGAGCACATCCAATGAAAATAACTCTCGAACAGCTTTATACCATAGTTAAAATATACCATAGTTAAAATTTGAGAAGACTTGAAAATTCACGTTATAGATTTTAAGGATGCATTATATGGTCTAATGGGTTAAAGGATTGCTAAAATTAGAGACAAGAATAAATCTGTATTCTTCAAGGTGGTATTTTCCCCTGCTTAAATGATGCTACATACTTAATACCAATGGATTTGGGTAAGGTAAATTTCACAGGGCTTGCCATGGGAATTCCAAGTACTTCCATAATTGACAGATACATGTCAATTAGAGTTTGAAACAGAGTCAGAATAACAGGGAGAAAAATCAATACTCAAAACAAAAAGAAAATCCTGTAACCTCCTACTAATTAAAAAGAATTCCACAATGTCATTGTCTCTAAAATTTTGCTATTAGCAAAGTCTTCTGTTTTCTCCTAAATTGCTCTCTTTTACACACAAGCACACATACAACCTCTCTCTCTCTCTCTCTCTCTCTCTCTCACACACACACACACACACACACACAACCCGAATTCAGTATATGGTTTCAAACTCTGTCACATTTTTTCCAGAGAGAAAACAATGTTCTGCATTATGTTAAACCCGAAGCAGAAGAAAAGAAATCACAAAGATGAGAATGGCGCCAGCCAGCTAGCCTAGTGGTTAAGGGAAGCCTTAAGCCTTAAGCCATAAGCCATGTTCAAGCGCCAGGCCAGTGGCTTCCTGAAAAGCATGCCAAGCACTTGTGCACATGTGCCTAGATTCCCAGAAAGATGGAAAAGTGGAGAATGCATGAATACAATGGATTGCAGCATGACCACACCATTGGTGGGTGCTTTCTCCCTCTCCCTCCCTTTCTCGTGCAAATAAAAAAAGAAAGAAAAGGAAAAAAATCAGAATTAAAGCCAACTACATTTTTAAAAAATCAATATAGAAAAGCCAATTAAACTAAAAAGTCAGTTCTGTGAGATTATAAAATTGACAGACCTCCAGTCAAAGTGACCAGAAAGAAAGAAGGCACAGGGGCTGATGTGGCACAGTGATAAGATGCAATGTTCTGTCAGGCTGACCCACATGGGAAGGTTCTGGGTTCACATCCAGAGACCCTGAGTACGCCAGGCAGATGTGCTCATCATCCAGGTTGGCGGTGGATGGGTTGGATCGTGGTATCAAGACCTTGCTGGGAGTACTCTATTTCTCACTCACAGAGGAAGTAAATGGGTAAAATGAGAAAGAGAGAAAGACAGACACGAATTTCCCATATCGAGAAGTATAAAGGTGACTTCATCATAGACTGAACAGATACTAAACAGATGTTTTGGGGCCAGCAGATTACATAGCGGTTATATCACTGGACTCTCGGCTAATTGTAGTTCAAGGCCTGGGCCCAGTGGCTTGAAACTCAAGCCAGCTGTGTGTGTGTGTGTGTGCATGTCCACGATCCTAGGAAGAGAATGGAGAAGGGACTATGGTGTGCCATCCTCCTGGGGGGTGATTTCTCACTTTCCCTCTCATTGTTTTTCTCTCTCTCTCTCTCTACAGAGAGCATGCACAAAGGCAAAAACCTCTTAAAAACAATAACAAAAAAGTTATTCTGCAGGGCTGGAGAACAATGCATACCTATAAATTCAACAGATGAAATACATACACTCCAATTAATATGGTAATACTCTTGATTTGATTATTATACAATGCATGCATGTTTTTGTACCCCCCAAAATGTGCAACAATTAAATGTAAATAATGAATCATAAAAAATATTTTAAAGCAGGCCCCGCGCCAAGGCTGCGACCGGCGGCGGGTCCTGTGAGGCAACCATGGATGCCAAGGACAATGGGGGAGGAAGATGGGACATAGCAGAGGGTGGGGGATGGGGAATCAGGGATGGCAAGACAAAGGGCAAGGTATGCAGGATGTAAGAATTGGAAAATTATTTGCTGAGAACATGTATGTTGATGTGCTTGATTGAACCAATGCACAGTGTATTTTGGATGGAAAATTCATTGGTGTGTTGTGATGGTGTATAGTGAATTAATGTAGAAAATAAAAATATATATATTTTAAAGCAAAAGAAAAATAAAACTCTGAGTATGATGCTGTGATTATAAATAATATGGTAGATTACTGAAAATCCTTGGCCCTGGGTCAGGCAATGGTGTGGTGGCTGAGGAGACTGGATCCCACATGGCCAACTGTGTGGTTTAAGTGCCAGACCCATTAGCTTGAGAAACATACCAGCCACGTGTGCATGCATGCCCAAAATCCTAAGAGAATGAAGGAGAGGGAACTGTAGCGTGGCCATCTCCCTTAGGGGGTACCTTCTCATCTTCCCTCTCACTGTCTCTGTCTCTCTCCAGCAAGCGCACACACCCTATTGCAAAAAACTAAAAGATAGAAAAAGAGAGAGAGAGAAACAGAGAACTACTGGCACAGGCAACAATACAGATAAATTGCAAATTAAATTCTCTCCACTTTCCTTTTCTCTTTATAATGTTTTATAGTCTTTAAGGTACAAGTAGTAAAAATTTAAACATAATTCTATCTTATAATTTAGCCATTCAACTTCCAGATATTTAAACAAAGAAAAGAAAGGGGCCAGATGTTGGCATAGCAGTAAGACAGAATGTTCTGTGAGGAAATCCCACATAATAAGCTTCCTGGTTTAGGGCCAGCAGGTGGCATGGACTCCAACTGGCACTGGACTCCCACACTGCCAACCACAGTTCAAGTCCTGGACCTAGAGGCTTAAAAAAATCACGCCAGGCACTTAAGTGTGCATGCCCAAAATCGCAGACGGAAAAGTGACTGCTTCATAGCCATTCCCTGGCAGGGGGTTGATTTCTCACTTTCCCTCTCATTGTCTCTCTTCATGTCTCTCTCTTGTGAGTGTACCTGCCCTATGGTAAAAACCTTTAAAAAAAAAAAAAAAAAGAAGAAGAAGAAGATAGGTTCCTGGTTCAAGCTGAGAGACCTCCCTGAGACAGGCAGGAACTTGCCCATGATCCAGGACTGGCTAAAGGCTGAGGGGAACTACAGTGTCAGGACTTTCTTGGGGATGCTCTGTGTGTGTCTATCACAAACACAGACACACATGCTCACATATGAAAGAAATAAACAGTTTTTTGAAGTAGGCCAGTTGTCTTTAAAAAAAGAAAAAAGAAAGAATAGTATATCTACACATACTTTTTTTTTACATGTATTTTTGCAAGCAGTTTTATTTGTAATAGTCAAAACTCGGCAACAACTCAAATGTCTACTGTGATGGCATACTTTACAGGTGTCCACAAATTCTTTGACAACTCTGCCTTCAAAAGTGGATCCTAGGGCTGGCAGTGGAGTGGTGGTTAAGGGCGCTGGACTCCCACATGGCCAACCGCAGTTCAAGTCCCAGACCCGGTAGCTTGCTCTCTCTCTCTCTCTCTCTCTCTCTCTCTCTCTCTCTCTGTCCCTCTGTCTCTCTCTGATCAAATTAAAAATAAAGTTCAATAAAATAATTCAGAAAAAAAAAAATTGGACCCTAAATCTTTTCCATTTGAGTGTGGGCTAGACATACTGATGCAAATAGCAATCAGGGGCAGAAATAATCTATGATGAGTCAGCCAGGTGGCATGCTGATTAAGGTGACTAGGTACCACATGGCTGACTCCACACTGCAAGTCCCGGATACAGCAGCTTGAAAAACACAGTAGCATGTGTGCAGACGTACCCGCACACCTGAGAAGAAAATGGAGGCGAAAGGACTGTGGTGTGGTCATGGCCCTGGGAATGCTTTCTCAGTTTCTCTTTCTATTGTGATTGCACATGCCCTATAGCAACTTTTTTTAAAAAATTAAAAATATAAGAAGTAACAATGTGTGACTTCTAAGACTAGGCCATAAAAGGCATCGTAGTTTCCTCTTTGCCTTTGTTTTTAGATCACTTGTTTGAAGACACAGAATTTGGTCTTAGAAGTCATGCCCCTGGGAATGCTTTCTCAGTTTCTCTTTCTATTGTGATTGCACATGCCCTATAGCAACTTTTTTTAAAAAATTAAAAATATAAGAAGTAACAATGTGTGACTTCTAAGACTAGGCCATAAAAGGCATCGTAGTTTCCTCTTTGCCTTTGTTTTTAGATCACTTGTTTGAAGACACAGAATTTGGTCTTAGAAGTCACACATTGTTACCTTTCCAGGGTCCTTGGAGAGCAACTGAGGCCTGGTGCCAATAGCTATGTGAGTGGAATATATTTTACTTGGATCTTCCAGCCCCAGTAAAACCTTCAAATGACTGTAGCCTCAGCCAACTTCTTAACAGAACCTCATGAAAGACCCTGAGCCAGAACCACCCATCTAAGCCTTTCCCAAATTCCTGGTCCAGAAACTGTGAGATAGTCCCTTTTTTTATAGCAACTAAATTTTAGCAAAATCTGTTGTACAACAATGTATTAGAAAATTAATACAAGCATTAATGGGTTAATGGTTAAACAAATCTGAAATATATTCATACAATGCAATACTATTTAACAATAAAGTATTGATGCAAACAAAAAACAGTTAAATCTCAAAGTAATTCTACAGTAAAAGAAACTAAACTAAAAAAAAAAAAAAAAAATTTCCA